AAAATATAAAGGGCCTTCCCTTTAGCGGTCAGAAACAATAGGAATAACGAGACCTGGTGTTCMGGTTAAAAGTGTGTGATAAACAGCATCACTTAAAACTATTTTTGGGCAGTGTTGGTCTTACGTTCTCAAACCGTTGTTTTTTACTCGTTGTTGAGTAAAAAACAAAACTCGTTGTTGAGTTTTTTTTCGTTGTTGAGTCCTGCAGTAGAGTTTTAAAGAAAAAATTACAACGGCCCGTGGTGACAGTGGATGTATTGTAGCGTTTGGAAACGCGAGGATTTGAGCCGGCATTTTCCACGAGGGCAACCAGAAGAACGGGGAGCGCCCCCCACCCCCCCAGAGAGAAAGGGCGGGAAGGGAGAGGGGGTGGAGCCGCTGCTTCTGCGCAAGCGCAAGGGCTTCGCGCGCCTAAACCAGCTGCCAATCTTGGCGCGCGGCGACCGCTGGCCAATGGGATTGTGCCGGGGGGGCGTGGCCAGGGCAGTGATCCCGCCGGCCGTGAGCGCGCCCCGCGGCAAACGCGCGCGAGGTTCGAGGGTGGCGTGCGGAGAGCGCTCCGGTCGCGGTGCGGGATGGAGGACGATCTGGTGAGGGAGCGCGGCAGCGGCGGCTGTCGGTGTTTCTGTCTGTGTGTGCGCGTCTGTCTGTCTGTCTGTCTGTCTGTTTGGTGTGTTGTGGGCAGCGGCCCGGCCCGCCCGGAGCGCAGAGGCTCGGCCCTCATCGCACTTCGGAGGGGAGGGACGGGGCCGGTTTTCCGCTTCTCCCTGCGGGAAAGGAGGCGGGAATTGGGAGTTCTGTSCTCGCCCCGGGTCCGGGCTTCTGGCACAAACACTTTTGCTCTGAGGGCTGGTCTGTCCGCAGCCCTGTTCCCCTCAGAGCTCAAGTTTGTGTACCAGATCTCGTACCCTCAGGCTGCCTCTAGAGGGCTGCCTTCCACGGCGAGCACGTCAAGAGCCGGACACTTGTCCAGGCAGGCTAGAATCGTGCTTAAGTTAAAACCCTTACGTGTAGCGTGACACGAATTAACTGTTAAAGGCTCTTTTAGGTTCGTGACAAAAAAAATTTCTTTAAAGAATTTAAAGATTAATTTATTTATTGCGCAAGGTTCCTTGCCCATGCATTATGCTACACTTTGCTTGAAGGGTAAGGGGTTTGAGCTCGAGTGCCGGATTGCCTGCGGAGTGTGGTTCTGCATGGTTTCTGAAGTGTTGGCTTTTCCCATGTCGCCTATGAAAGGAGAAAGAAATGTCTTTATAAATAAACTCTAATTTTGGGCTTTGGGGTGAGATAAGGCTTAAGGTTGATACTGGGAGATAAAAAAGAAATAATGGGAAGGATTTTTATAATAATTTTACTGATTGACTTATTTATGATTATGTAAGTAAACTACTAGAGCGGAGATCTAGAGATGTAAACTGAAGGGGGGGCAATTTATGATAAAAGGGGGGTTTTATTAGGCGTTTGGGGGAGCTTGTAACTTTAAAGTATTTTAGCTAATGGGGAAAGAAAGAGGGAACTGTGGCCGGGAAATTGGGATAAAAGGAGGTTGCGTCTTTCATAAATCTGAGAGATGATATGATTTTTATTTACAAATAAAGTTGCGGGACTCTTCTGTCTCCTTTTTGGACATAAACCTCTGGTGCTTGTGGATTAATTTTCCTMACACCTAGAATTTTCTTCTGCCGCTTTCAAGCGGTGTTGAAAACTTGCAGTGAAAGCAATCTATRTGAGATTTGGTTGGTTTTGATACCAGAAATAATAATCAAAGGGGAATCACAAAAAAGTGCAAAATGCTGTCAGTATGGTAAACTTGAGAAAAACGTGCTGAATTATTCTGTGTTAGGACTAGATAATCTCCACCCTGCATATAGTCTTTGAATTTACACGAATGAAGCAGAGGTTATAGTTGTTTTTAATCTAAACATTTACATTTTTTGAGATGTTTTCCTGTTAAATTTGTGAAGAACTGTGCTCTGCTTAGCTCTTGAATTTTTCTTGCCCTTTCCTCCTGTTTTACCCTCTATAGCCCTTGCCGCTTCCCAATTTGTTGTCACAGAAGGCAACACTGATAATGCTCTTCTATTTATTACTGTTCTAGTTGTGGTAGATGACTCGAGTCCTGTCTGCTRTTTTAATGACTTTGATTATTCTTGGATTTCAAGCGTATGGAGAGGCGCTGGGAGTTAGTTGAGGTTGGAGTTTTAGCGTGGCACAGTGATGTGCTCTCACTGTCAGTGTGGTGTTCCCTGTGRTAAACACAGGGTAAGAATTGTCACGTGAGCAGTTAACACACAGCAGCAAATGTGAAGTATGGTTATGTCCTAGCTTGCTTTATGGCAGCTCACTCCTTTTCCTTACTTCAAAGATTATTCCTGCAGTCATTATAGAAATGCTRACCAAATCCTTAGAATCTTTGTGGTTTCTGTATGTAAGTCTCCTGTTAGACTCTCTGACTTTAGATGCAACAGGTTCTTAATTTGGTTCTTGTGAAAAGCTGAATTTCGGGCAGTTGTTACCGGCACTGTCGCTACTACGGCATTCTAAGAAAAACGATGCCGAAATAACTCCCTCTCTCCCACTTCTTCAAGATGTCTTGAGAATCCTTGAAAACTGCTTACTTGTTCTYCTGTCTAGTGTCATCATGCTTAGTAAAATTGATTCTTATTTCTTCACAGAATCATTTAAAAAAAGGCTACAGAACAAGATTCTGCCATGGAGGAGGGTAATTTGCATTTAAACATTTATTCTTAGATTCTGGAAAACTTTAGTTCATTTTTATCCAAGAGCTAATAGTCAAAACTATGTGATGTRTCTTATTAAACTGATCATATGATGTTTTACAAATTTCTTGTATTTCTTCAAAAACTGCGAGGGGACAAAGGTCCAAGGGTTTCCTTTGTGTTCCTTTGCTGAGGCAGCAAATGTGGTTTAGCTGTTCCTAAGGTACCCCTAACTGGACTGAGTMCAGAATCTGTGCAAATATATTGCTTTTCAAGGAGTAGATAAATTCCGTCCACACAGAGTTCTGGCAGTGTGGACCCTGCTGATGAATGTTGGAGATGAGTTTGGGTATTTGCGATGCTGTAGCATTCTTTACACATGTGTTAAAAATCCATTAAATTTTTGTTAGTGAAATCCATTTCTGGACATGCATTTCATGAGCTTACCRAATCTACCCAATTAACTATTTTTAAAGTTACAAAAATAACTTTATGGTTATTTATTGGTATATGGTTATTATTATTTTTTATGACTATTATGTTATGGTCGCTGCCCACAACACATTACTCAATTTTTCTAACACTTTTCTAGTGTTATTTTGGTTTTGATCAGCATTGTCTGGCTAATGAATCACTCACTTCTGCCCTTTTCATTTGTGCTGGTTTGAAACGGTAATCCAATAGCTGAACTGTTCAGTTGCTTATGGGCTGTATACCTCAAGCCAGTCCTTTCTGCTGCAACTTGTACAAGCACAGAAATCACATGTTTTACAGGGTGAATCCCTATATGGAGGGATAGCTGCATATCAGCAGCTGCACATTTCATTTCTAGTTCTGCTGTTACTGGATTACTGTGTAGGCAACATGGCTCGAGGTCTGATTAATAAAAAAACTACTCTACTTATTTCCAGTGAAACTCTAGTCAGCCCAAAGTTCATTTACCTCAGGGCAGTAGTTGCATGTCTTATGTAGAGGGAATTCTTCATTATTATTATTATCATYTGTGGTAATGAGTTTTTTTCCCCTGAAATTCTTATTTAGATATGTTTCTTTACAAATATCTGTGCGTGGAAATGGTAGGTAAAAATATATTAATGTTGGAGCTAGGGGACATAATAACCTAAAATATTACGAAGTAAAATTTTGCTACCTTAATATTTGGGATAGGAGCATTTGATATTTTTGATTGAAAATGTTTTTTTCCCTCTTCTTTCTAGAAATAAGATTGATCTACAGCCAGGTCAAAACATACTGAAATTTGTAGAGGATTGCTTTGAAAGTAAGGCCTTATATGGTGTTTCTTTTAATTTGCTGATAAATTCCTTGTGTTATATTTAGTGGTAAGTAGACAGAAATAAAAAATAAGAATAAAATGGATACAAATAGTATTTCTCAGGGGTTTTAAGAGCACCCCCTTCCCAGCTTCTTAAAACTGTGTCTTAGCTGTCTGATAAAAGTAATCTTTCTCTCAAGCAGCTGGTTCCTTTCTTCTTTAGATCTACATGATCTTAAAAAGCCTTAGAACTTGTTAAAATAAATGAAACCTGGAGAATTCCAAGATTCCCATATTTATAATTTTTTCTGCACAGGTTGCAGCAGTGATCTTATAATAAACTCTCCAAGTTGCTCAACCTCTGTTTTGAAAAATGAGAAGGGGACTTCGAGGCAAAGGGTAAGTTAAGTCAGTGTCACAGTGTAGCCTTGGGTACAGTTTCCTGTGAGTACAAGTTTAATTCTGTAGCATTTAGTTCTGTATGAGCCCTTGTAAAATATGTAGGCGATAATTTAGTCTGTAATTTACTCTATAATAGTTGTTGAAAACGTGATTTTTTTTTTGTAGGTTGTTGTGGTCAATAGATGATTCTGCTTATAGAATATTTACTAATAGCTTTTTTCCTTGGGTTTTTACTAATAAAAGCTTCTCTAGCTTTTTGCCTAGGACAGTTAAATTTCTCATGGTCTCAGATTGAAATACGTTGCCTTATTACTGGTAGGGGGTTTGGCTGTCTTGGACTCCATTGGAGTTGGTTGTGGTCGATTTGCCTGATACATGGGCACAGTTCTTAGCTCTCAGATGGACAGTAAAGTTTAAAGGTAATTCACCTATAAAAGCAGCTTCTTAACTCCCRATGGTTACATGTACAGTAACTTCACATATCTGTAACTTCATTGAARAGTGGAAACGAGTTAAAGGCCTTGTTAGTGTGCTGTCTGAGAGGATAATGCCAATTATCTAGTTTGTATATTTAGTTTTAATACTTTGATTTTAATTTTTTTCTTCTTACTAGGTTATTCTATTAATGGCAGGGTTGAGAACAGGCAACCATATAATGGTGTTTAGTTTAGTCTGATGTTAGAATACAATATAATCTTAAAGCAGTTCTTGCAAAACCTCAGCCTGTCTTAATAAAAGTGAATTAAATTGTTTAAATCTATTCATCCTAATGACAATAATAAATAGAGAGATAAATAAATAACCTGGAGACTAGCAGGATGTCTSTTTGAAGCTGCATATATAGATATTTACTGTACATAGTGTTTTACCTGTTGATTGAAATTCAGTAACTTTTAGTTAGGAAGTCTTACACAGTAGAAAGTTTAAGTGTTTCATTAAAATAGAACTGTATTTYGAATGAGGATGAATTAAGGAAAGGAGATGGTATAGTGTTCTGTAGAAATGTATATTCCTACTGTTGCTTTATCAAATATTTTACTTTGTCTCATTATGATTATCAACTATAACAGCACAAGTCAGGGTCAACCAACTCTGTGAGAAGAGCCTGTAATTCTGCAGAACCCTCACCTACATCACTGCTAAAACCAGTSAGCAGCAGAGGTTGGTCTTGTTATTACTGAATTAAGGTTTTTAAGGTAACGATTTCTTGGGATTCTGTAAAGTTTTGGAAGAATTAAATRTGTTCTATATATATGGCAGGACAGTCATGTGAATCACACCTGAAGCCTGCAACAGACGATTATGTAGCTGCTTCTAAAAAGCCAGAATCTCCTGTGTCTACAAGTGAAAAAAATAATACATTAAAACATATGGAAGCACTGTGCCAGCGTCCAGATGTGCTTTTGGACTCTGAGGATAATCATGAGTCTGTTGGATCACCTTTTCCTGTGGAGGAAGCAAAAACTTGTCCTGTAGTTAAGTAAGTAGAGGTGAACATGGCTGTGGTGTCATATCCCATGTGTGCCCCCTACCTTAGGATACATTAAGCTGGACTGTGAACTCATAAAAAACAATTTCAAGCTTTTAAAAAAGTTTCCATATCTGGGTTTAGAAAGGGAAGAATTATTATTTTTTAGTATTCTAGTGATAAGTGCAGTACCCAGGTGAAGGAAGCCTATCAGAATAGATTTAAACTCTTWTCCAGGAAAGTGCACCGAAGTATCAGCTTTTCAGGTAGTCGAGACTTCTTCAATGAATCATATTGACAGGGTTGACCTTTAAGAGTTAACAAGAATTTGTTAAAGCAGTAATGAGCAGTCATTTTTCCTCTCACTCTGAATATACAAATGTTTTATACAAGGTAAACTACCTAAGTTGTGATTATTATCTCCTCATTGGAAGATTTGAAGCTGAACTGCAACACTGGCCAATGATCCTGGCCACAGTTCCGCTTTCCTAGAGGATTGAATSTCTGGGGTAGATCATAAAGATGGACTGACACTGATTCTGTTGACTCCCATTGATGTAATGGGATTGAAATATGGTGCACCTGCGGTCTAGGAAACCTGACAATTTCTGAAGCATGTACTTCTAAAATTAGGAATTTGTCTTGCTAAGTAACCTTTACTTTAATCAAGAGTCACATGCTGACTCTATGTTRCCTTTGGACACTTTCTGCTCTGCTGTAAAGTGCTAATGCTAACCTGTGTTCCAGCAAGCTTCCCCAGAAGGGAAGCTCATTCACAAGAAGTGAGATGTCAGCAGGAGTGTCTGTTCATCCTCACAATACTTCACTGTGCACTCAGGATTTATAGCAAAGGGTTTGAATGCTGTTTCACATTCATAGATTGCGTTCTGATAACTGGAATACACCAGCTGCAGCCAAGAGCCATGGAGAAATTAAAAATTTGGAAGAACAGCCTGGGAGAGATGAGCAGGTGGAAGGAACAAAACATGTTACTGTGTCTTCTGCCAGGAAGAAGTCTTTTTCTTCAGCAGTCTTAGCAGCTGTAGCAACGCGTGGACAGAGGTTTGTTTTAGTGCTTAGTATGGAACGTATGAAGGATGAACTTTATAATAATTCTTTCAAGGAATGTTCTGTCCTGTGTCTAGGTGCTGGGAGTCACCACTAGATTTGAAAGACTGAAACTCAATTTCCGTCCAGAATGATATATTTTTTTCCTCCTTTCTTTAGATATTCAGCCTCAGTATCACCACCATCACCTCATCCTGTGAAAGGTCAAGATATAGAAACAGAAAATGAATGTGAATTTTTAATTGATGAATCAGGTGGTATATCTTCCACTTCTTGGATTTCAATACCCAGTAAAAAACCAAAAAACAATGGCTCTGCAGGTCCCATTTCTAAATCTCAGCCCTCTGAAAAGAAGAAGACACAGAATAAGAAAGTCAGAAACAGAAAAGTAGAGGCTAAAGCACCTACTAAACAGAAACTGGATCATCTGGGTGTTAGAGCTTTTGACTTCGAAGGAACGTCAGAATCAGATTCAATCTCTGATAGTGAAGAAAAGGTCCATACATCTCAAACCAAAAAGAGTACTCGTATGGGTAAGYTATTTAACAGCTCTTCAGACTTTTCCTTCCAGGTCACATTACTGGTTTTGTGGTGGTTTATAATGAAATTATAATCAAATAGATGATAGGTATTATTGGATTCCTTTTTAATGTTTCAGTTGTACAGTTAGATTTGGGTGAGTCAGAGACAGTGAGACAGATTGTCTTCATTTTTTTCTCCACCACTTTGCTTTTCCTCTTAGGACATTAAAAATTAAATCAGTAGTGTCGCCTCGTCTTGTGAGGAGTCATAGAACATAGGTACCCACAAGCTTTTGTTCCTCTCTATGCAGAAAGGAGGCTATGTGCTTTGAATAGAAAGAAGATTGAGTTTTAGGAATTTATTGTAAAGGGTTTTATAATAGGAAACTTAAAACTGGAAAGCACACTCAATGTAACATTTCTGCACCCTTTTTTTAATTGGGAAATACTGGAAGTATACCAAAATGTTTTTTGTAGACTATAGCTTAGTGAAAGCCTTCTTTAGCCATCAGTGATAAAACTGGTTTTGTGATACCTTTTTTTTTTCATTTTGATTCTTTGATTTATTTTTATGCATTCAGATGTCAACATACACCTTCAGCTTTAATGGGAGAAGATATTAATGTCCAAATGTTTTGTGTATTGACAGGAAAGACTAAAAAGGATGCACTTAGACAAAACCCTCCAAATGAGAAAAAGAACACATCCTGGAAACTAGAAGCTGAAGAACTGATGTCACGGTCTGGAGTGAAAACAAAACCATCTGATGAAGAGCAGTGTAAAACCAGGAATCTGCTAAATGAGGATTTGTCTGTGTCTTCATCTGACCATCAGGAAGAGCAGACTGTGTCTTCAAAAATGTCTCTCAGGTCTTCCAAGAATCTGCAGTTGTCTTCTAAAGCTTCTTCACAATTAGTTAAGAAGAAACAAACTGCTAAGCAAAAACTTCCAGAAGTTAAAGTATCTGAGAAAGGGACAGCAAGTCCAAGGAAGAAGCTTAAAAAATCTGTCCGGAAAAATAGTAATAAAAAGCCTCAGTTGCAAAGAGAGGAGAGTTCTGACAGTGAACCTAGTGAGGAGGAGCTTGCAAGAGAGGCTGTAGAATTGAATGAAGTATGCACCACACCCTTGCATCAGAAGTTAGAGAGTCCCATGATTCCAAAGTTCACYAAGACTGAAAAGCCTAGAAATGTATTGCACACATCAGAGTCACATGGTGGTGCAGATGAGGGAACTCCTGTAAAGGCACTGCAGCATCCCATGGACAGTGTGAAGAATCCTGAAAAGAAACGGTTGTCTGCCAAGTCTTCAGGGAAGAGACCCAAAAAGATCCCACGTAGAACCAATAAAGCTCTTTGCTCAAGCACTGAGGACACTGAATCTCAAGCAGATTCTGACTCTTCTGTACAGGATATGGCAAGGGAAAATCAGAAGTTACCACATGTGAAAACAAAAAGTAACAAAAGAAAACATAATAGGCAACACGTGCCACAGTAAGCTTTTGTGTGATTCCTTAAAAATGGTAGATAATTTTACACATCTTGTCAGCTTTTAAGCAGTGATGGCCCAGTTGAAGTATGGGATAATTTGAGGCTGGTTCAATAGTTCATAGAAGAGTCAAGCAGTTTAATCAACGTTCTGTTCTCAAAGCTGGGTGCCACGTTTAGTGTCTTCTACACTGAGAAGCCTGATGAGGAAACTTGTTCTGCCTTAAATGTTCTTGTGAGATTTGCATAGCAGATCCAGTTACCCATGACCCTACCTCCATAGAGTAGCTTCCCTGCTGAGTTTGTTGGTTTTTAAAAGTAAATTCAGAAAATAGAGCATTTAATTCTTCAGCTATATTTATTTTAGTCAATCTAAAGACTTAAGTTTAAGCAGTCTAAAACCTGTTTTGTAATCATTCTTCTTTGTATTGCTTTTCAATGTCTTTTTTATAGTTTTGTTCAGGAATAAAATACTGAGGTACAGGTTTCTTTTATTAAGTAAAGTTGACTTAACACTAAATGTAATAAGAATGTTTTTTTTCTTTTCTAGGGATTCCTTTGTAGCTGAGAAGGTTCCRGGTTGTGAAAGGTAATTTCCTGAGTTGTCTGAAAAGCTTTAATTCAATCCTACTTCTGCCCCACTAAGACCGCCCCTGAGACTSAGTAGCTGGTACTGCTGCTATGTTCTGTGCCCTGCTGGTGAAGCACTGAGTAGAAAAGGGCTGTGATTCATGCTTGAGGGTTTTAATACTGTGCTAATACACATAATAAAGCAATATGATTTTTCTTACTGTCATGAATAAGGGGTTATTATAAAAAGCTTCTTGCCTTTTGGGGTTTCTTTCCTTGAGGCTTACAGCATGCAAAAGAATTCTTAAAAGCCCTTCCATAATCATGGTATATGAAAAAATTTTTGTAATGTAATGCTACAGAGACAAGGAAATGTCTGTATTGTGGAAGGTGGGGGAAAAAAGTTTAGGAAACAAAAAGTTTAGGAAACCTGTTTAGAGAGGAGGTGTAAACACTAATTTGTCTKTCTGATGGCTGAGTAGRGGAGMAGTTCATGARTTTCTGACCTGTGATTTCTAAGGAACAGTCATTTGCTTCAGTGTCTAATCAGTATAGACATGTTTAAAAGCAACATAAAATCCAGCCCACATGATCTGAAAAAGCCTTAAATTTGCCATTTTTGGTAGTGTTGTAATGTTTTTTTGACATTAAACATATTAGAGCAGGTGTAATTTTTCTTTCCTTTGCAGTGGGCCTGTTGACCTCCACCATCCAGATTGTGACATATTTGCTTGCAGCAGTCCTGAACAGGATAATACATCTTCAGGTAATGTTTAAACTTAATGTTTCCTTGCATTTTATGTATAAGCTTCTTATAAACTGTAAGTGACAGTTCAGTAATTTCTTTTGTATTTGGCTTGTCCAGAACAAGAAATGCAGATATTACTGGCTATGGTTCCATTTCTGTCCAARTGTGTGATACAGGATGCCAACTTTACATTGTTAGCTTTGGGAGAAAAAAGTCCTCCATGGTTTGGCATCATGCCTACCAGGATAAAATTATTCTCTGCAAAATACTTKGAACAAATTTGTCAGTCTCAGTTTGTACCAGTTTGTCATGTGATGGTCCTGTATGCAGTCACTTCAGGCAACTCTGAGCCAAATTTTACAGCATCATGGCCTGCTTGCCTAAGAATATTTTGGTTTGATGGGAGTTTTGGTGGGGTTGTTTATTTTGTTTTGGTTTTTTGTTTGGGTTTTTGTTTGTTTGGGATGTTTTGTTGTGTTATGGGGGTTTTTTGTTTGTTTTTTGTGTTTGGGGGGTTTGTGTGTATGAGTTACTAATACTTGTTTGGTTTAAGTTTTAAGTTTTATTCCACAAGTTTCATGTGTTTTCATAATGASCATCAACCCTGGAAATACAAAGTATTTTCATAAGTCTTTCACAGCCAGGTGTGAATGGTATTATGCATAATACCATTATTGCTTATGCAATACTTTCTTTATATACCTAGTTTTGTGTGCATTCTGGTAAGAAATTAGTGCTAAAGTTAGATTTGAGTAATATAAATYTGAATGACCTTGCACTCTGAAAGATAAAATTATGAATATAGTTTATAATTTGTTAGTGTTCATTTTATCAAGAGGGATAGGTCTGAGGAGTATTTACTTGAATGTATAGTTTTCAATAAATTCAGTAAATTTTGCAATTTACTCTGTTTAAAAACTAATTACGTATACTGCTTGTCTAGACTGGGTTCAATATGTGTTTATAGCAAAAGGTGTTAGTGGAAGCACCATCCTTGGGACTTTTGTGTTACTTTTGGTTGCTTCTAATGGTTATACTGAATAAAAGTCAGGRATAATGAATGCCTTTGGTGGCTTTTTTGAATGTGTTTTCAGATGAATGTGAAGACTGCAATTGTAAATTAATACAGCTGTTGTCAGAGGACATAGCAAGGCGTAAAATAGGTAAGAGTATTCAATGTAAGTGTGTAAATGCAAATGCGTTTTTAATTTGATACGAACTTTGTTGAAGGAGACACAGGAAAACACCTAGGAATGGGTTCCTATGTTTATAAGTATTTGCAGACAGGGTTTGTTAGTTCTTCAGGTATAGTCCTTCTTGTAATTTGAAAGTTACTTTTTAAAGCTTCTAGTGTTTCTTTTTTTATTGCAATATTTACCAATTATCTTTTTAACTTCCACATTTCCATTTTTCATGATACTGTGTTAAGGAAAATTTCAGGTCTGACCATCCAGGAGCCACTCTGGCAGCCACACTGCCACCCCCAGATACTTTCAAATGCWGGGACTGAATCCCCTTCACAGTGAGTGGCTCCAGTGCCCCTACRGTGCCCCACTTGATTGCCTACAGACCCCACATTCACACAGCCAGAGACAAGGTTTCCTTGCTGGCTCAGCCCTGGGTTTCCCATAGCAGAGCCTCAGACATCTGGGTCCTTGAAGTCATTTTCTCATGGTGTAGCAGCAGAGTAACAGTTWAAATAGAGCAAGGTGGGCTTTTGTACCCTCACAGTCTGTGTGCTCCACAGTGCAGAGTATTCCAGCTGAGTTCTCAGCTCCTGCTGTGTCTCTTGARTGTCGGTCACCTGGCTGGGCCACAGGTCCCCGTGYCCTTTGCTGTGCAAAGGGACAGCATCAGYTCGTGATCTCTTGCCTGAGGCTCCCACCCAGAGCTCAATCTTCARCTGGCACTACGGCTGCTCACCCAGCTATGTGCACTGAATATATTCCTGAACAGCTGAGTCAAGACAAACTTACTGTTCAGTGAGAACAGTAAGAGTTTGAATTTCTTTTGTATGGTAAAACTGAGGGTGCAAATAACCTGTCTTCTGTGGTGGTCTGAGTCTGGACAGGATGGAACAATGGACATGCAGTCAGTTGTAATCCCATGCTTGTCTGTTTTACACTGTGGGGGTTTGTTAATTGGCTTCATTATTATTTTATGCACAACAATACAGTTGTCTACCTTCAAAAACTTTCACTCTTTCTTACAAAGACTAAAATATTGTATATTACTGTACTGATATATGGCAGCAAACACAACTTGAAAGTTGAGACTATGTGATTGATATCTCTGAAGATAAAAATCTGAGAAATCTTGGAAATGTGTGAACTTCTTGTTGGCAAAAGTGCCCCTCTTATAGACGCTGGAAGCAGWACTTATTTACCTGGAAGAAAAGGTTCTGCTTATGCAGTCTGTTACCCTCCCCTTGCCATAACTGAGGCAGAGCCTTGTCACTCTAGCTAATGAAATTCCCCAGATTCAGGCAGGGTTCTTTGCCTTGGTCGAGAGCTTTGTCTTCACATTGTAGCATGTTTGCTGTGCTTGAGCTTGAGCTCCTAATGTCTGTGTGTTAGTGGTTCACTAAAGTATATAGAACGTATATAGAAATTTGACGTAAAGTCAGGGTGGTGATTGTTTAAGAAAAATGAGAGTGAAATATGTAGGCAAAAAAAGACATTTGGCAATACTTGGATCCTATTTTCTTGTCATGATAGCGGTGTGATAAAACGATCATCTAGGAAGTGCTGACCCCCTTGTGGTACAGACGAAACAGAGAGGATACTTAATATTTTCTGTCTCTGAATTTTTCTTTCATACTTAATGTGGATGACTTCATCCTTCGAATTAGTWATGCCTTCCAACACACCTAATGTTCGTCGGACAACAAGGATACGGCTAAAACCTCTAGAATATTGGAGAGGCGAACGAATAAAATATGCTATGAAWCCTTCAGGTATTCCAAAATACCTCTTTGCTTTCTTCTGATGGGGCAGDAAAGAGAAATCTGTGAGTTAAACTATACTGTGAGAGCTTTGTGATGGTTATTCTTGGGTAATTTTTTAGGAAAGGATTATTCGTAGTGTACAGCTGTTTAGTCATCTTTCCATGTAGTTTTTTTTTTTCTCCTGACGTTCCTGTGTCTGTCAGCTAAAAACAGTATCAGCAGAGCATATTAAGTACCCTTGCCTTCTCTGTTAGGGAAGAACAGAACAGAACAGTTTCTCTGTGCTAGTTGGTTTTGTATGTCAGAGATTGTGTATGATACTGGAAAAAGAGACAGTCTACTGGATCATTCATTGGAGCATTTCTCTTTGTGTGAGGATTGTTTTCCAGAGCAGATACTATGCTAGTTTATKCTATCTCAGTATTAAATACTTGTGGTGGTTTTGCCTAAGTGAAAAAACAGATTCTTGTTCTCAGGAATATTTTTACTGACAATTCAGCCTAGTTTACTCCTTTCCTAATTATTTAGTTCACTCAAAAATAGTATTTCTTTGTGTTCCTAAAGTGATACTTATCTTAAAAAATTATTTGCATTCTAAACATTCTAAAATGTTCTTTGACAGGAATTTGATCAAATTATTTTTGAAATGTCTCAAGTTGCATTGCACTCCAAAATACTTAATGTTGAAAAGCTTTTTTTGTTTGTTTTGGCTTTCTAAAGCAATCTGAAAAGTTCAGCATCAAGGAAGCATATTCTCAGTTGAAATGCTTGTTGGATTGCATTCTTTTAAATTTACTATGAGTTAATGAAATTCATTTAACTTCATTTTGTTTCAGGAGAGCTTGTGCTTAGTGGACTAGTGCATCCAGAAACACAATCTCCCAAGAAGAGTAAAAAGAGGAGGGATCCTCCCAAGCAGAAAAGAGATAAAACAAGTATGAACACAGACATTTTTTCCTTTTGATACTTAAAACAATTTTTTAAATCAAATACTCTATTGCTGTAAGATTTTCCACTCCTCCTTTSTCTCTCTGGGTGAAAATAATTTTGTAAGGTAATGTATTAATGTGATCTGATGTGGAAAAACCTGTTCCTACTGGTTCTGTAGTAATGCTGTACATTCTTGTGATGCCACGAGATTTTTGCTTTCTAAAATTGTTCACTTGTCAGTGTAAGAAAGGACATACCTGGAAGTGCTGCTGTGCTTTTAAAGCAAGGGCCGAAGAAACRAAATTTTGTGTTCAGATCATGATACTAATGTGCACAGTTAAGGTATAAAAGCTTGTGGCCATTTTACTGATACYTGATGTGTAATAACATCTAAAAATGCAACAGAGAGTGTTAGTAGGGTTTCAAGCTGCTGTAGGTTAAATACAAAACTACAGCATGGTAGGTGGAGAGCTTTAAGAACAGTACATAAAATAGTTTAAAGTGGGAAATAAATCTGTTTAAACAAACAGAGCCTCTCTGGCCAGTAGATAATAAATATGTAAGTTGTGCTCAGAAAAGAGAGTCAAAGTCCAAAAGCCAGATTATTTTTGCTGTGCTCTGGAAGATGTTTTAGGCTTAAGAGCTTTCTTTATGGTGACTGTCCAGAGCTTTTGTTTGAAGGTGAAACATTTCTCTCTGAAGTTACAGAACTAATAAAACARTTGCTAACAAGTGCGGAAAATGCCATTCAGTTTTAGCACTAAACTAATCAGGGCTGAAATGATCATCAGAGAAATAAATAAGGAAGAAAGCAATCACTGTTGGTACCAATTTCTGATTTTACATGTGTTTCATGTAAATTTTACTCATTACCTCAAAAAGAAAGTGGTAGGCCTAGAGAAGGTTTAGTGAAAGCTCATCAAAAACATACTTCTCTAGTGAAGACTCCTCAGCCCTGAATAGAATACTATGGAGGCCTCTAAGGCAGATGTGTAAAAACACCTYTAAAATCATCAGTGACATGGAAGAGGGAAATAGAAATGGGCTTTTTGGGGTTTTCTGCTTGCTTTTTTTTAAACACATGAACTAGAAGGTATGGGAGGAAGATAAGTGAGAGCTGGGTTCTTCAGCAAAGTAARATGGTCATTCTTACTGTGTGTTTCCTGCCCCAGAATATTGTTCATAAAATATTTATGTACATTCAAGGCAAGAACTGGATACACTAACAGGAGACCAAACAGTTAATAGCTTTAAATGAAGTGTGTGAGCTCCAGGTTAGAGGTGGAAAGCATTCCATGGAAGTGTCAGTACGCTACAACAGCGTTTTTGGAAATGGAAGGGGATACCTGTTTTGGGCCAGTGATAGGAGACAGGATCCTGGTCTAGATCATCTTTGATCTAAGTATAGTTTATATTGTAATGTAAATCATTTGCAGCCCATGTGAACCTGAGCTGGTAGTGACTGTTCRTACTGTATCTTACAAGAGCTATTGGTTGCTTCAGGTGCTTTGAACTGTCTTCCAGAAGTAATTGATTTCCTCTGTGACAGACATTCATCCTAAGACACAGTCTTCTGCTCACATCCTTGAGTCTTAGTGATGCATATAAGGACTGTCAGCCAAGTAAAATTTCTAGCACAAATTCTTAAATGTTATTGATACAATAAAAATGCTGGTTTTACGTCTATTGCTGCTTCTTTTTATAGAGAGATGGTTATGTTGGAACAGAGCTATTCAAATGCAGTAGCTTTCTTCCTCCCCCTGACTCTCTTGCTGTAAGAGTATTTAAGCTTCCATGAGTGCCTACAAAGTGGTATAGCTTGCCTTTAGCATACTTCTGGCTGTGTTTAAAGCAATTTCATGTGCGCTGTTGAGCTGAAATTGTCTGCATAAGAGAATTCTGCAAGAGAGCTTTGGGATATTAATTCTGCCATGAACATTGTAAAGCAGTCTTTCTGTTCTTTTCTGTTTGAAAAGCATAGTGTTGTCATCAGTTMTTAGGATATTTCTTCCTCTGGAAAAATCCTTTTTATTATAGAAATAGTGCTCAGATTTACAGCTTACAGTAAGAATCCTGTAATGTTATTTCTTGAGAAAAGGGAAATTGAACATGTGCTTATCTCTTGAATGCTTTCTCTTTTAAGTCTCTCTATACCTTTTAGCAGTAGGTAAGAGCAAAAACACTTGTTCTTCATACTTCATATGAAGTTATTTCATTTTCTCTCAGCATCTGTTGCTAGAAAAACACTCTTACACAAAATAGAGTTTACTTTTGAGTAAATACTCTTGTTAATAGCATAGGACAAATAGTTGGCATTCCCCATGGAAATTCCTTAGGATTTAGAGTGTTCATCTATTACAGAAATAAATTCAATGAAAAAGACATTTTCAAAGTATTGTTATGGATAGTTTTCTTTATTTRAAGGAAGAGTATTCAGTCTGTTTAGGCACTTATTAAAGGAAAGTTAAGTTCTTAATATATGACATTCGAATTGTGGAAAAGTTGTGGTTAAATGATGGAATTTTTAAAATCTATAGTGATTACTTTCCTGGTTTTGTTTTGGTTTCTTCGTATCCTCAGATACAGGAGACATACCTGCAAGTTGGGACCACACCCTAGCTGATACTTCTAAGCCAACCACTGTACTGGACCCAGAAACAAATGAGGAAGTACATCTAGGTGAGTTGAAGGGATGTATGTGACCAAGGGACTTTGTGAACTATGTAGTYTCATAAGAAAAAAAGTTGTTCATGCCACATGGGGCATAAAAGGGTGAAGTTTTGAAATATTCTTTGCTCTTCTGGAGGAAGTTCTGAGGGAGACACAAAAAGTGTCCTGATTTCTCAGCTAGACATTGAGTATAGCTTTTGGAGGTGTTGCACTGAAACAATATGTATTTCATTGAGCATGTAACAAGACTAATTATGTGCATTAATGTTAATCTCCTGGACATTTTTTTGTAGATTGTGTTAACACTGCAAGCAGTAACAGTTACTTCTTCAAAGATGAAGCAATAGAAATATACAAAAATTTGAATACATCTGTTTTTGCAACTGGTAGATTGATTCTGAAACCATTTAAAGAAAAGGGGCACCAGTTTGTCCACATGGATACAATAGTAAGTGTTTTTTTCTTATTTTTATATGTTTTTTCTTATTTTTATAAAATGGACTTTGTAAACAGAAAATCTTGGGATGGTTGAAAGTAACATAAGAAGTTGAGAGGTTCCCCCCCACTTCCACCAATACAAATTAATGAGTGATTTGATAGTGATACTTTGTGTGCACATTGCCCTGCTTTGTTTCATATTAAATCTGTATGTCCGTGTGCCCCTACTTACTGGCTCTTGCAGGCAAGATAAAAATATYAAATAAAACTGGACCCCATCCCCCTGTTGAGTCGTGCATCTTTTTTCATCAATATGGGAAAAAGGGGTTGCAGCTCTGCTGGTTGATTTGGGTTTTTACCTTTGTTATATGTATGCAAGTGTTTTCTTGGATATCTTTCTTAAATGTTTGCAAAGGAAATGTTGCTAACCTTAGAACCATTTGGTTTCCATTAAGGCTTTCCATATTATTCATGGCAAAATTATTGTTACATTACACAAGACATCGTATTGTCTGACTACAGGGGACTTCTTCTACGTTCCAGCAGGTGAGTACCTGTGTCTGAAACCCATTTGTTGGGAGATGAATGAGGCTTAATTAGCACGCTAGGAATCAAAACCAAACCAAATGGCTGAAAGAGAGAGGATTGAAGAGAAAGTGGGAAAGTACAGGGTGATGAAGAATGGAATGTGACACAACACTGGACATGGTTCRTGATCTAATTGTTGAATGCAGGGATACAAATACTGCTTGTTTGTGTGAGTTGGCCTCAAAGTTTTGATGACACTACCAGGTTCTAAGAAAAAAATTCCCTTGGTATTCTGGTTCTGTCACTAGCTGTTATGGTGAGGAAACATCAYGGACAGCKAAATGTTAGTGGTAATTAATATAGTTGTTTTGGTCACTGTATGCTTTTTGGTTTTTTCCTGTGTAAAATTATGAAAATCCATTTGGATCAGTTCATGTTTTGTGTTTTGTGCTTGTATGTGGAAGGTTCAGAGTATCTTGTTGAATAGGTTGTAACTTCATATATTTTTTTGATAATTTAAGGACCTGGCTTTGACCTTCTCATATAAAAGTGGTATGAATTCCATATGGGAAGCTGTCCATCAGTGGGTTAAGACTGGTCAGGAGATTTTGTAGTAGTGTTAAGGCAGGCTGTTCATGCAGCTGTAGAGAGCTTTTGTGCAGCTTTCTTGTGAAGAGGCCAACTTTTAGAAAATGAGGAGCTAGCCCTTTTTCTTCCTTSAACTTTTCAGCACGTGATTGTTCTTGATTGAACAATCATTACTCAATTAATGCCTGATGCTTTGAAGTGTTTTCTTGATGATTATTTTAATCTTAAAAGTTTAGTGGATCTGCAGAGACAATTTTGTCATTTGTTTTTGGGAAAGCAGATTATAAAATTCTGGAAGGATCTATTCATTCTTCCCTGCTTCCTGATGGCTGGCCTCAGTRTGGCTGGATGGGCAATGCAGTGTTTGTGGCAGGTGATCCAGGCTGTATAGGAGTGTTAGGATGTTGCTCATTCCTTATGTTCAGGGTCCATTAGATAATTCTGYTTGGTGGCCAGGTTAGTGTGCAAATCTCAGATGAAGATGTGCAGATGTTTCCTTGTGCAGTTTTTATTGATAGTTTTTGTGGGAATAAATTAAAGTAAATTCAGTCACCTTAAAGTTTTATTGTAGGTTTTTAAGAGCTGAGAGCTCTAGCCTATTACATTCTTCCCAGTAAAAATCTTCAAAGCAAAGTTTAAAATAAAGGACACTAGCTGTATTGTCATCTCTTTGAAATGCACTGATCTGCCTCTAAGAGTCACATCCTAGATTAGGAGCTAATACTCCTTCTGTTAAAATAAATAAAATTTTAAAAATATACTTGGCTAAAGACATGAGTTTAAATATTGCTAGTGGCTCCTAAGGGAAACTTACTCTTTTTTTTTTTTTTTTTTGTAGGAAATGGATATAACCTACGTAATCTTCTGGATGAAGAAAGTATTCTTCTCTATACACAACTCAAAGACAGGTGAATGAAGAACTTTCTGCTGAGAAGTTTGCTTAAACAAATTTGTTGTTTTAAAACTTTTGTATGTGCTGAAGTTCTTTTTACATACAAAAACTTGAGTGAGCCCGTCCTAACATTACAAATTAATACAGAGCGGCTGAAATCAACATAAGAAGAGTTGAGAAAAAAAACAGAAGAACGTTATAGTTTGCTGTCAAAGTGAAATGACACACTGAGGGCGTTGCTCCGAAGCAGTTATTGTTCTTGTRCCAACCAGTGACAGAAAGATACAAGTATGTACTGTGTTGGTATATTTGTTGTTCCAAATGTTATCAATATGCTTAATCTCCCTCAAGATGCTTAGCACTGGAAAAATGTTGACATCTTCAGCTAACATCTGATAGATAGTCTTAATGACTGGCTGGTACAACCAGCTTAGAATAATCTCTATTTAAATGACAAACCTGCTGTTTGCATTCCAGTAATTGTTGTCTGGGAGATGGGCTGCTAAAATTATGTTGTGCTGGGGTCCAGCCACCTTCTCATATGTTAACGACAGGCACTCCTTCCTTGTCTGGCAGCTGGATGATTAGTGCCTCCAATTTGAATAGGAAAATAGGAGCTCTTAAGTAAGAGCTTATCAGTTGTGTCTTTTGTGTGGAAGCTACAGCCTGATTAGTTCTGAACATTGTTGATAGCTTTATTTTGTGTAACATCGAYAGGTCATTGCCAAATGTATTACTCTAATATCTCCTTTTGATTTGCTTGCTGTGTTCCTGGATAATAATGAGGACCTTTGGGAAAGCTGTAATTATACTGTGTACTCCAGAAGCCAAGTCTAGACAGCAGATGGTATACATAGCATTTGTCTCCCAAGCTCTTCGAGGATCCTTCTGGCTCAAGATAAGGATAAACTGCAGCTATTCTGCAGTTTGGTATGGTGCTTTCTCTCTCTGGGCACTGCTGTACTCTAAGAGAAGGAGATAAGGAGAATTGAATTGGAATCGTGAACTTTTAAGGACTTGAKGATTGAGCACTAACCTTGTAAGCMRTCTTGGCCATGATCTTTATGCTAARTCTAGAGTATACATTAAAGAAGGAAAGAGGAATTGGCTTTCAGCTGCCAGCTAACTTCCTGTGTTTATGAAGGGGGTTAGACACCAAGATTATCATGCCTCTGTAAAAGATGCTTTGGAATTTGAAATAATACTTTCTGTCATTCTCTTCCAAGCAGTAGTTCCTATGGTTAATGCATATGTAGACTGTGTTTTTTCATTCATGGCTAAGTCATGTGTAACTCTTGAGAAAATGAAACATGCCCACTGCCATTTAGTTCTGTCTTGAAACAAGCTATTACTATCAGAGTTCAGACTGCACAGAAAGACCTTTTTTTTTTTTTTTTTGCCGGGCTTAACTTTTGTAAGCAGTTTAAGAGTTAAAAAAGTTAATTTAGGTAGTASGTATAAATTTGATGTTGGCAGCTTTTCTAAATTGAGGGCTTGGGCTGGCCTCTTCAAGGTCAGCAAGATTCAAGTAGTGTCCTTCCTGTGTTGGAACCATATCACCTACCAGATGGGCACACATGCTGGTCTCACTGCTTGAGGGGATACCACTCACTAAAACGTTTAGTTTTTAAGTATTTCAACTCCTCAGGCCTACAGAGATCTGGAATTTTGCCACTTGGAAAAAGAGTACAGGGCTAGGATTAAACCAAAGGCTCTGCTTCTAACTCAAGCAGATCTCCCAACATTCAGGCCATGGATGTGATGGTGTCTGATCCCGGCAGCAAACTGGTTCCACTTGAAAATCAGAACAAGAAAACTATTTGGTTGTGTTAATGACCAGGGAGTTCTGAATGGAAGTACCCTGCAAATGTTTTTTTGTCTTATCTGTCTGCAGATTGGGTAGCAGAAGGATGGACACTGAAGGGGTTAGTAGAGGTGATTTATGTGGATGGACTACGGAGCGTGTGGTCCTGAAGAAAAATGTGGGTCGATCCTGTGGCAGAGTTCAGCAGGCTGCTCCTTGCCCAGGATGTGTTTTCATTTGGTGGGCTGAGATGAGAACTTACAACATTACCCACGTGTATCAGGCACTGATGTGTCTTCCCCCACCATACTGTGCTGCAACTTAGCAGCAAGATTTTGAGGGGTTTTCTTTTGGGTGAGGAGAAGTATGTGCTTCAGGATACTTCCTTAAGCRGAAGTGATGTGTGCAGGTCTTTTCCTGACAGGCTGGAAAGCGCAGTTGTTCATGTGCAGGCTCGAGGTCAGCATGCTGGTTTGTGTTGTCCTGATGGTAGGCTGGGATTGTCAAGAGAGCTGGGTGGACTTGGCAAAGGATGTCACTTTTTAGGTGGGATGGTTTTGTTGCTTTCTGACTTACCGGTTTCTTGGGAGAGATGTCCTGTGTAGTTTGCAGAGATGTCATTCCATTTGCCGAATATTTTAAAGTTGGGCTACATCTGAATATGTGGTTTAGTTKTTTTTTTAAGAAGCGATCAGTTTTGCCAAGGGATGTGCTCTTGAATATTGCTCTGATTTAGCAACAGTTCTACTATTTGTCAGTAGATGGAGCCTCAAGCACAGCTGTTAGTGTTTTGCTGGCCTCTGTTCATTAGGGTCTGATTTCTGGAAGGYGGGAAGAAGAGTTGAGTTACRGGTGGAGATAAATTTAGTTGAATTCTGTTGCAAGGARATGTAAATCAGATGCCATTCAGGTAGAACTTAACAACTGAACGTTGCTACCTTATTTCTGTTAYGTGGATGTTGTACTTGTTGCAGCCGCTTGCACAAAAATGTTCTTTAAAACATTAGTGCACAGCAGGAGCTGTTGTTCTGGGTTGTTCACCGTTGGTCTGGATTGCATTTCAAATTTTTTTCTTCAACTTGACACTTGTTAGAAATTTGCTGCTGTGTCATTAGGCTGAATGTAAGTGTGAGGAGGTGCAGGAGAATGCTTAGAGTGCCAGGACTCCTATGGCTGCTGAGTTGTGCAGTGTGTTGGTCAATAATCACTTGTTAGTCAGAAGCAGCAGCTGATGTTCCACCTCTGCCTGGTCTTGTCTTGCCTCCTGCTTCTTACATTTTTGTGTACATCAGACCAAATAGGATATTGTAAAGAAATAAGCCTCTTCTGAAATGCGAGAAGTTAGCATTCTTCCTGCAAATACGAGATTGATTTTGGCAGCATATTTTCTGCTCTGCTGAGTAATTTCACTGGCTACTATGGTTTAGCCAGGTTTTTGCTGAGCTAGTCTGAAGTTGGTTAAGCACAGTTACCTGTTGTGAAGTTGGGACCTTAGTCTTGAAAGAGACATGGCCTTTTCTGTTGTCTGTGAGATATATTCACTGTTCCTGGAGGATACCTACTGATRCCCTTGGAGGACATCACTCAGTATATTAATTCATTGCTTTCTGTCAACAGCAATTGAGAGAACTGGAAACAAAAGCCAAGTCACATGTTAACAGGTTCCTGTGTTCTATAGTTGGTACTGTGGTAACATCCRGGGGCTTGTTTTAGAAGGCTTAACTGAGAAGTCCTACAATAAAAAGTCAGAGTTTTGAAGGCTCTGGCTCCCTCCAAAAAGGTTACCTGTTATGAGGTTCTTTTGCAAATCTATCTTGTTGTAGTGTCATTTGATTGGAAAGATGATCCTGTTTTACTAAACAAACCTTTTTGCAGCTTAAATCAGCAAAGAATGATTGCAGAACAGTCAGACGTGTATGCATATCCATATTTGTACTACTCTGTAAACATAAAATRGGAAATTGTGAGCTGAATAATTACAGAAAAAGTAAACAGGACCAATAAAACAAACTGTTGACACACATATACAGCTTCTTCTGTTTTTCAAATGCACAACTAAATTGGTTATCTGCAGATGATTTTAAATTAACATTTGGGGAATGCAATAAACCTGAAGAACTATTTCCTTGTTTCCTAACAACTGAAAAGATATTTCAGCACATGTTTCTTGTATTTCTACTGATATACAGACTCTCTATGATGTCTTTTGTAATACAAGATTTACTTTAAGTGGTGATTGATGGCAGATGATACATCTAACTGAAGAGCATGAACCATGCATCTTTAATGGTACTGACACCTGTTGTAACTGAATATCTTAGTTTTTCCAAGCTGGTACATTTCCTTGGCAGAATATCCTGTCACTTCACCGATGCTCACAAGTGTGGTCAGAAGAGATCTCAAAGGCAAACTTTTTGGGTTGCATGGATGAGCTTCAATTAGGTTTTGACATCCAAAGTGATTCCTGTGGCCCAGTTCTAAGATGAAAACAGTGGTTGATCATCAGTCAAAACAGTTGGCTGCAGATTATTAGGAAATGAATACTTTCAAAGGTTTGCCTGCAGAGTTGCTCTGTTTTTAAGCCCACTCACAAAGTTCCTGTTCTGATGTGCTTTATTTAAACTTCTGTGCCCAAGTAAAGGTATGCACAAAGGGTTGTAAAACCACAGAATATTTTGCATTCCTTCTGCAGTTCTGTTTGGAGCACAAGAGCTACAGTGATTCTGGAAGAAACAAAGTGTTTACTTCAGTCAGTCTGACTGTTTAGTTGAGACACAAGTCAAAATTTATTTACAGAGAAAAATATTAATGTTTAAGGTTTTTTACTTGTTTTTGCAGTTTGATAGGTAAAGGCTTTTAAATTTAAAAACTTAAGAATTCTGGTACTCTAGACAAATTTTTAGGAAGTTTATTAAATGGGTATGATAACTGTTAGCACATTGTTTCATTTAGCTTATTAAATCTTTTCATTGTGATGGTGTTTAAAGCTGCCTTTTCTGTGTTTTCAGTAGCACTATCTGATATGAGAATTGATCAAGATGACAGATGCATGGTAATGCTGTGTGGGTGTCTTCCGGAGTCAATGTGCTGTAAACAGGGAGAGGAAATAAGTGATATGAGAGATGTAACCATAATGAAGAGCTGTACATTAGTGCCCAAAGGTGTTGAAGACTGACTGGTCTAGATCATGTAAAGCATTTTCAATGAAGCGCAATAACTTTGAAAAGATTGGTATGGGAAAGGTTTTCTGTTGTTGGTGCCATGAGGACACAGCTGTTTGTGCTGGTAACCTGCACTCCTGGTTTGGGATTCTACTAGTGATTTGATCACTTGCATTTAAGAGCATTATGTCATCTTATCTAAAACTAAAGGACTAAGCTAATGAATGTGATGGATAATCCACTGAAGAAGAGGCCTGAAATTAATGAATTTTACCCTTTCGTTGTTAGCAACACTTTCATGTTGTAGTACAGTGGGGGTAATTACAAGAATCGAAAGTTAATTACAAAAAAGTTTTTTTCAAACACAATCTGAACCTGAAATTTCATTGCTGACAAAGAGGGGGCTCCCCTAGGATGCAGCAGCCTATACACCGAAGAAACGGAGCACTTCTCCTTTGTTTCAGTTACTGCCAAGTGAGCTCTGAGGCTAATTAATCAAAACAAATTCACAATTAAGCCCAGGAGGAAGACTAATTAAGTAGACAGTTAAGAAAAGTGTTGAAAAAGGGAGCAGGCTTAAGGGGAAAGTATGAGACTCCCAGTACTGGCCCATGAAGGACAATTAAGTGATAATTGCAGAGGCCTTTTTGCATTCTGCAAATGCTGTCTGCCTTTTATTATAGCTGATTTTCTTAGCAGAAGTAGCAGACATTTGCCTGATGAGCAACTAAGCTTTATTCTGCATACTTAAGGTAGTTCACAGGTAAAGCAGAGAGGTTGCTGCAGCTATACATTAGAACACAGCTTCCAGACTTGAGCAGTGTTTTAGATGGTGAAAAAGCCCCATTGTGTTTTAAAGACGAGCTAAGTGTTTGCTTTATTTGCCTCTTCAGTTTGTGTCATATCAAGCTCCTGTTAGCACCATTCAACCTTTCAAACAAATGACACTGAATGAACCATCAGAATTTACAATAGCTTGATTTTGTTCAGTTGTTCACCCCACTGAAGTACACAGAAATCATTATCTTGTCGTGGCTTCTGTTGCTTCTGTCCTTGTATTGAGTTTTTGTGGCCAGGTTTTGGTAGTGGTGATGGGGGGTTACTGGGATGGCTTTTGTGGGAAGCCAGTAGCAGCTTCCTGGGGCTGACACAGCCAGTGCCAGGCAGCTTCAGTGCCAGCCCGCCACTGGCCAAGGCTGAGCCCCCACCAGAGGTGCTGGTAATTCTTCTGTGGTAACATTTAAGAAGAAAAAAAAGTTATTGTGCAGAGATGATTATGGACGGAGAAGAGAGGAATGAAGATAACGTGAGAGAAACAGCTCTGCCCACATCCAGGTCAGTGCAGGAGCAGGGACCAGCTCCTCCAGGCACAGCCAAGGTTCCCCTGCAGCCTGTGACAGTAATAGGTGAGTGATCTCTCCCTGTCCTTACTCAACCCAGGAGCCTTTCCTTTATTTTCTCTCGCCTGTCCAGCTGAGGGTAGAGAGTGATAGAGCTGCTTTGGTGGGCACCTGGCATCCAGCCAGGGTCAACCCATCACAGTCTTGTTTTTATGCTGCATGACATACTTCTGGTTTTTGGTGGGAAAAAAAGAGAAGGAACCTACAACATTAGTATTGTTTCTGCTGAAAATATTTTAGATTTTCTTCTGAAGGACTTTTTAAGCTTGCAGGGCTAATCTCTGGTGAGATGCTGAGGCTTCTAGATGAGGTGCCCCAAACTTCCTGTGTCCCTCCTTGCCCATTTCCATTGAACTGTCATGCTAATGAAGTACAAAACCTCTTTTAATTTATTTGATTTAGCATGGGTTAAATTTGCTTAAGTGTTCACTTTTTTTTTCCTCTTATCTGGAACTTGAATTACTTTTGAAATTACAGTGGAGAGGTCTTTTCAAGTATTTGTTAAAATGTTGATAGTAATTTCTTCCATGAAATTCCATGTGAACCGTGGTGCTACTGTGATGCCCTGTGTCCTATGCAAGTTGACAGTTGTCTTCTTGAAGTATCTGTCCAAGGTGCTCTTTTGTCTCTTTTTTCCTTCTTTCTCTTGGAACAGGTTGCAGGATATGGCATTCACCTGCTGCTGTTTCAGCTCAGCTGCTCCATCAAGTTTCAGTCTGCTCCTTCATTTTTTGTCTTGCTGCCTAAACTAATTTCCTGCCCTATTTGGATGCATTTTCCTTACCAAAGGTTTCTTTTCTGTCTTTGCCACTTTCAAGGATTAAATCATTTTAAAATGCAATTCCAGATGTTAGAATGATTTCAGATGTGTTCTTGTGCCTGAAGGTTCCTTTGCTACCTTTCCTGCAAGTTTTGTACAGGGYCTGRCAAAGCTCCCAATTTTCACTTKCAGAGAAGTGWTGAAAAKCTTTCTTTGGCCTCTGTTCTTCGMAAGACTTTTGTGTMGTTTTAATCCTAAGAAGGTTGGCAYAGGATG